CAGGTAATTCTCTTCTTAGACACTTCATGCATCACATAACTACACCATGCGTTCAAATGTGGGAACTCTTTTGGACTAATCCAGCTCCATTTCCTTTCAGGGAGACGATTCTGGAAGATGTTAAGAATCTCAGATCTTACTTTAGCCCATGTCAACTCCTCAGATTCTGGCTCCTTTTTCATCTTCCTCACCAATTCAGTCTTTAAAGTAAAGAGCTTGTCTTTGACTTGCTTATATCTATCAAGATTTCGAGCTTCCCTATTGAAAAATAGGATTCCTAATCTTGCTATAGGCGTACTCTCAGTCCATTTTACAGAGTCTTCCACAACAGATTCCCAAGCACTAAATTGCTCTTTATCCTCCTTATATCTTAAACCCAATAATGCACATTCTAGAATATCACACTCTTTTTGCTTTGAAAGAGCAATGGTCAGGTTTGTCTCATATACTCTAAGTCTTTCTTGTAAGGCTTTTACTTGTTCCTCTAGTTCTGGTATGGTAAGATCGGTCATAAACTATCGTCATTTATTCAAAACGCTCTCTATTTAAGCTTAAGAAACTGATTGTTTACATTTCAAATAAACAAAGATTGGCAAGTAACCAATTAGTTGTCATAAGTCATTTTGATATTCAAGATAATTCGTTCTTAAGATAAGCTTTATTAGAAGGCAAACCGATCTATTAAGACTTTCATATTGTGTTAGGTTTGTGTTGTGTTTTGTTGAGTTAGTATTATGTTAAGATAAGATTGTGTTTTATTAAAATTAGATGAAGTTGTATTTAGTTTAGTATTAGTTTAAGTTGTATTTAGTTTAATATTCAGATTAGACCAACTCAGTTTAGATATCATAACATAAGTCAACTTAAGTCAACTTAACTTAACTTAACTCAACTCAACATAACATAGCTCAACTTAACTTAACATAACTCAACCTAACTCAACTCAACCTACACCTAAACCCAATCCTAACTTAACACCACCTAAACTCAACACCACCTAATCCTAACCCACCCCAATCCAACTTAACTCAATACCACCCCAATACCTAACCTAAACCCACCCCATCTAAACTCAACTTAACTCATCTAAACTCAACTTAAACCTATCTTATTTTGTCTTATTTTATCTTATTTTAAAACTCAAATCAAAACATACTCAAATCAAAACATACTTAAATCTTATCATTACCATAAAAGGAGAACAAAAATCTTCAGTCTTTTACCCAAAGAATAGAGATCAGACTGAGTTTTTAATTAAAAGTTTTTATCTGGGAATGGACAGCGATACGAAGATTAATTTCCAACCGGATAGTTGGCATTCTTTACCCGGTCTAGAAAGAGTCCCAACCCCTCCCCTTTGTGAAATGCCCGATATTTACACTAAATTACTACTGGAAAATGAAGCATCCTGGCTATCTATAGCTAGTTTATTCCGAGAATTCCGAATGGACAAGAATGTCTGTTATGCTTATGAAAGAGCCTTAGCTAATAATCCCTTATCTAGAGAAGCACTAGAATCTCTAGGTCCTATCTATCGCACCCAAAAACAATGGGATAAAGCTTTAGATCTATATTTACGTCTTTACAAACTTTCATCTGGAGTAGATATTGATAGTGCAACTTCTATTGCTTTTTGTTATTTAATGCTTGATCGGTTTAGTGAGAGTCTTATCTGGTTTAAACTAGCAGCTCAACATGCAGCTGCTATTAAGAAGGAAAAAGGCTTCTTATGGTTTGGAGTTGGTGTCTTTTATGAACGAGTTAATAATCTACAGATAGCAGAAGAAGCTTATGCTTCAGCTATCAAAGTTAATCTACCTTATGAGTACAGTTTAGAAACATACTTTCGTTTAGGAGTTACTTATAAGAAACGAGGTGCCATTCAAACGGCTAAAGATTGTTTTGAGTATCTCTTGCACAATCTACCTAAAAATCAGACTAGACCCAGTAAGGAAGATGTTTTAGTACAAGTAGCTCATGTTCATGATTTACAAGGTCGGACTTTAGAGGCCATTGGTTTGTTACAGGAGATTGTATCTAGTCGTAGTAGTAGTAGTAGTAGTAAGCAAGTAGCTGTTTTATTATTGAGTTGGTTGTACTATAAGGAAGGTAACTGGCTGGGAGTACAAGGAACGATTCAGGAGTTGGGTACGGGAGAACTGGGAGGGTTTACTTGGTACTTACTGGGTCGGGTTGAGCATAGATTGGAGAATTATAAGGAGGCGTACCGGTGCTATCATGCGGCGATAAGAAAAGATGGGAAGAATCACTTATACTGGAATAGTATGGGTATTCTTTACTATGGGTTGGGGCAGTATGAAGATGCGATGGGGGCGTTTCAGAAGGCACGTAATTTGCATCCGCTTTTTGTAGAGGCAGTTTATAACTTAGGGGCTGTTTATGAACAGTTTGCTGGGACTTTAGGTAGTGCTTTAGAGGTATATGAAGGGGCTTTAGAAGTATTTCCTGAGGATAAGTTGTTATTGGAACGATTGGAGGAGGTGGCTGATCGGCGGGCGAGTGAGGTAGAGGGAGTTTATTTGCCCCCGGAAGTACCTTTAAGGGACGTACAGCCTAATCCTACGAATACGCCGTACTTCTTAGCCCATTCCTTGCTTGGCTATCGGCCGACGAGTTTTGTCTTCAATACTGAGACCCATCATGCAGATATAGAGAGTATCGTAGAGCATCTGCACAACGCACATAATGAATAAATTGCCTAATGAATTGGGTTGGGTTGAGTATTGGGTGGGTTTGGTGGGGTTTAGATTGGTTTGTGTTTGGGTTTGGTTTTTGGTTAGATTATATTAGTTTAGATAAGATTGGGTTTAGGTTGTATTAGTTTATATAAGATTATGTTGGGTTAAGTTTGGGTTTGGTTGAGTTAA